TCTTGCTCTTGCTCAGGCTGGTCTAGAACTTCTGAGCTCAAGCAATCCTCCTGCGTTCGCCTCACAGAGTGCTGGGATTACAGGCATGAGCCACAGTGCCTGGCCCATATTTGTTTTTAGAATTGCTCTTTATTCCTTTCTACATCTCCCAACTTTCACCTAGGATTAAAAACAGTCCTCACTGCTTCCTTTAGTAATGAATTACTTCAGGTTTTGTTTGTCTGAAATGTTTTTACTTTGTCTTTATTCTTGCAGATATTTTCACTATTATACCATTCTAAAATTCTAGGTTGGCATTTTATTTTCCTGTTAGCACTTCATTGTTTTCTGGTTTCAAATGCAACAATAACATTTGATAAACATTTGATGAGCATCAAGTAAGTGCCAGGCAGTGTCCTGAGCAATGGACCTAAAGCAGTGAATAAAACATAATAACAACCACCACAAACACCAACACCAACAATCAAAAAAACAAAACAAACCCAAGAATATTTACAAAATAAAACTTTTCCTTTAGGCCAAATTCTGTGATCCTTATCATTCTTCCTGACTTGCTGAGCCTCGTTTTTCTTCTTCTGTTTGTTGTCTCCTACAAGCTCCTGCCTGATCTTAGATATGCACAGGTTACTATGCACAGCTGCAGCAAACACACTGTGGACTACTTTTTCCTCCCACCCTGGATGAACTGGTGAGTACATCCTATAACTTTTATCATCAATACTAAAGAATAGAAGTCTTCTAGTAACATTGAGTCACGAGAACAGGCTCATTTCAGTGATTGATCTGTCTAGCCAGTGTGTAACAGGCTCTTAGAGTTGCCTTCAAAGTGTTCTCCTTCCCTCCTGCATGAGCTGGCTTCGGGTTGGCAAGTCTGCACTGGGGGAGGTGGAATGTGGCTGGGTTCTGTGACTTGTCTACCTTGTTCTACTCCTGCTCTTCACCCGATTGTCTCCTGCTCTTCCAGGGCTGAATGGGGAGGGGGAAAGAGAGAGGTCATCTCAGGAAAGGTCTCTGATGACCGGCACACATGGGATTTAGAGAGTGCTTGCTAGGTATGTAATATACCCAATGTGTATCTTTATTTTTCTCTCTCATTTGATGTTTTAGTGGGTTCCTTGTGGGGAACCCTTAACTACAGTTCCCATGGCATGAGAAAGTTCACTCCTCTGGCTGATCACTCAGAATTCCTTCTCACCCTTGGGCTTCCTGTGGTCCATTTCCTCCTTTAGGTCACTTTGCCCCTTGAGACAGTTTCTTGGGCACGATTCAGCTCAGCTGCAGGATGGATCCCTTCTGTATGATCTAGCTGATCCACGCGGAACACTCATGCATTCCGCCCTGCCCTTGGTGGAGGTGCAGTTTTCTCTCGATGCATCCGCACAGTCGTTTTGCTCCTTCTCCTCTAGGAGACAGGTCAGGCTTTTTGAGTGGTCTTCTTCCAATTCCCTCTCTTACTTGGCTTAACTCAGGCACAAGCTCCTCCATCCTTTCCTTCACCGGGAAGGAGGACATGCACAGGGCACCAGTTGTTCTCTCTGAATAAGTCCTCTCCGTTCCTTTACAACTTCAATCCTTTAAATCCTTAGATGGGGGGTAGGGGGGTTCACAACTATTTTTAGATACCCCTTTGGCGAGTTCTGCCTAGATGGTCTAGCACTCAATTTAGAACACCATGAGCTTGGCACTTGTTGGCCATAAGGCCTCATCTAAAACAGAGGCAGAAATTGTTCCTGTTGCATCCTGTTTAATATCCCATTGCACTGACTACAGAGCAATTGCATTCTAGCACAGTGGGAACTGAGCGAGGTGTGGTGGCTGACGCCTTTAATCCCAGCGACATGTGGAGGCTAAGGCCTGAGGATTGCTTGAGGCTAGGAGTTTGAGACCAGCCTGGGTAACTTAGTGATACCTCTTCTCTAAAAAGGAAAAACAAAAAAACAAAACAAAAAAAAAAAAAAAGAAAGAAAAGAAAAGAAAAGAAAAAAAGAAAGAAAAGAAAAAAACTTACCCAGGTGTGGTGGTGCATACCTGCAGCCCCAGCTACTCAGAAGGCTGAGGCAGGAGGATGGCTTGAGTCACTGCACTCCAGCTTGGGTGATAGAAGGAGACCCCCTTCCTAACAAAAAGAAAAGAAGAAAAATCTCCAAACTAACTATATCTGCTTCTTGTATTTTACAAGGGGACTGTCATAGTTTATTTCGAGGAAGACTGATTTTATTTATTTAAGAAGATAACATGATGGGTATCTTTGGTTTGGAAAGGTGATCCCTGCAGTTCTGTAAGGTGAGCGTGAAACAAAGAGACTGCCGATTCGTTGTGCTCAATAGGTGAGAAGAATTCTTGAGTTTTCCAGGAAATAGGGGCCTAAGGGGCCTGGAAAGGGGTCTCAGTGGGGGAACTGGACAGTGGTTTGGGTAGAGAGAGGGCCCAGAAGCCTGTTGTGAGGTCACGGCCCAAGGGGAAAGGATGATTAATGACAGGGGTGGTTGGGGGAGCTTACAAACAAGGACGCCTAACATTAACTGTTGGAGCATTTAGCCCCAACCTTTTTATTAAATGTGGGCTATAGACAATAACCTTGTGTTAGTGGTTGCTTTGGGAAGTTAAAGCAAAAAAAAAAAACAACAAAAAAAAAACGGGGGGGGGGCCCTGTGCAATGTTTGGGGTGATATTAAACACAGGAGGTAAGACCCACTAGTGAGTCTAAGCGTCCAGTGGGAGCAGGAAATGACAGTGATGGCCAATGACAAAAGGTAAATCTTGGGAGGTGCTGATCTTCCCACAGTAGGGGACTGAAGACTTGGGCCCTTAGAACTTTTTATCATTATAGGAATTCTGTGAAAAACACTCAAAAATGGCTGGAGGGTGCAATGCAATCTTGGTTACCCACCACTCTGTTTGACTTAGGCGTTTTTTAAATGTTTAAGGAAAAAGTGAGTTCAGAAGGACAGATGACTTGGGGCAAAAACACAGGGAGGGCTCACCTGGGTGACAGTTGCAAAATGGATGATGGGGGGGGCTTCTTATAAGATGCTAGGAATGATGGTGGAGTGCGTTCCTTCACATAGTGGTGACTTTTCTAATAGGAGACCTATTGTCCCTAAAAGACAAATCATATACCTTCTTTCATGAAGAAGTGATTAGTGTCCCCTGGTTTTCCCCACCCTCCCTGTATTGTACTAACAGTTTGTTTGAGAAAGTTGTGTTTTTGGTTATCTTGTCAGATGTATTTGAGTTGTAAGTGTATTGTGTGTTTGGTAAGGCATTACATAGAGTTAAGGAGTAGGCTTAGAAAGTCGCTCAGTTTTCTCTAGGTGCCTGGATTCCTGGAAAGTCATTGGATTGTTTAGGATGCTTTTAGTGTCCTAAAACTGGTTTAAACAAAATAATACATTTGTTATCTTGCATATCAAGAAGTTCAGAGGCAAAGAGCTCCCAGGGTTAATTCAATGGTTCTATGACAGCCACAAAGATCCAAGGCTCTTTCTATCTTTCCACAGTGCTATGGTCAGTGTTTTGGTTTGTCCTTTGAATCTCACATTCACAATATGGCTGCTGCTGATCCAGGTATCACATTGTCATGGTGCACCATCCATAGGAAGAGCCAGGCAGAATTTTTCCTCCCTTGTGCCTTGTTGGAGAAGACAACCACTTATAGACATCCTCAGCAAATTTCTCACCAGAGCCCATTAGTCAAGATTAAGTCACATTTTCATGCCCTAGCTTCAAAGAAGGTTAGGACAGTATCAGGAAGTTTTAAATTTACCTTAGGAAGTAGGCTTTGCCTAAGGATGTAGGTTGGGAATGACTATTAGTACACAAACATTGGAGTCATAGGAGTACATATGACTAAATGAAGGTATTTATTTCTATTGTATGCTAATGTGATTCTGCAATGTACTGAGCACCTGTGGTGTACAAAGCAATGCCAACATGGTGCCCCTAAAGCTAGTAAGCAAGAGCAGCAAGTCCCCGAAAAATGCACAGTACAGTTACAGTTGCAAGATGGGCGATTGGGAGGCTTCTTGTAAAGTTCTAGGAATTGTAGTAGTGTTAGTTGTTCACCTAGCAATAACTTTTCTAATAAAAGATCTATTATTCCTAAAAGACAAAATCATATACCTTCTTTCACGAAGAAGTAATTTCAATGTCCCCTCATTTTCCCCTAGAAACTAACAATTTGTTTGATAAAGATATGTTTTTGTTTATTTTGTCAGATATATTTGTAGCAGAAAGGTCAAGGTGTTTGGAAAGAACCCAGGACTGAGAATCAGAGGACGGGCGGGTGTGGTCCTGGCTCTGCCCTCGTCCGGCCTGATACCCGGACAAGTAACCCCATCTTTACAAGTCTTGGTCTTCTTAATTTCCAGTTATCTGTGAAATAGAGGTGCTTTTTCTTGTCTTGAAGTGATTTCCTTTTATTCCAATAAGACCTCCATTTTCTTTCATTGCTTGCAATCTAGATGGGTCTGTTTCCTTCCCTATCCTGGCCAGAGGGCAGGCAGAGATTCCAGCTGGGCCAGTGACTCTCTCTCCCAAAATCTGAATCTTGAGCCTAGTGACCCAGGGATTGCAAGTGGTTGTATCTTTTCAAATCCAGATGGCAGTGATAATGGGACTCTCCATTGGTTTCCACTCCTTAGATCCCTGAAGAACTCCTGACTCGTGGCCTTTCTGGAGCTTGCTTGTTCAACTCTTTTGTTGTGTGTGATCTCGACAACTTCCTTCTTTTTGTGTCTTTTCTTAAGTTTTCCAGGGTGCAGTTCTGTTACTTGTAACCTAAGAACTCTGTTATATGAAAATAATACATGCCTTATCTGTCCTACCTTTCAGTGTTTTTTTGTTTTTCAGGATCAAACTAAATTATATATGTGGAAGCACTTTGAAACTCTAGTGCACAAATTCAAGGCAGTGCTCTTCATATTATAGCAGTCTTTGTTTAAAACAATTTAAGTAAAACCTTCCTTATAACTAAGTACCAAAAATGGGTTAACTCGTACCTGTTTCAGTAGTAGCAAAGGGGTATGTAAGCAGCAACCATTTGTCACCTAAAATAAATAGTAACATGGGGCAAGCGTGAAATGATTATTTCTAAGACTAAAATTTTGTGATAACCAAAACTAATCTTATAACCAAAACTAATCACAAATAGTAGAAAATTTAAGCCAGTGGTTTTCAAATTATGATTTGGTGACACCTGGAGTCCCAAAAGCTCTTTTAGAGTTCCACAAGGTCAAAACTATTTTCATAATTATACTCAGACATTATTTGTCTTTTTCACTCTATTCTCTCACAAGTATGCAGTAGAATTTTCCAGAGTCTTCATGACATGTGGTGATGACATCATTGTTCTAATGGCTAATGGAACTTATGCTTATGTATTCTTATGTCTTCTAGAATTTTCTAAGGTTAAATATGTACATATTCAAAGAATGACTCAATCTGTTCTCAGTACTTCTACTGTGTTCTTACTAATTAGTTTCAATATGTCTGCAAAAATCTTTGTAGCATTGTTATTACCCAATAGATCATTATTTTAAAATCCCAAAGTTCTCCTTGAGCTTAGTGGAAACATAATAAGTAGTAAATACATGCTCTTGTTATGTTTTGCAATAGTCTTTAAATTTTTTTCCAAAAATTTTTCTAAATAATTTACATTTTATTTAAAATATTATTGTTTTAGAATTAAACAATATTACATTCTAAAAGAAAAGAAATTTCATTTATAATATATTTTTCTTGTATTTAAGGACAGATTGTTGGCTTTAAAAAGGCAGATTAGAAGACTCACTTTCTCAACCTACAGATGTCCATGTATATCTGAAGATGCTGAACAAGATGAAACTGACATGTTAGAGAGTTCTCTGACTCATGGAAGAGAGAAATTTACTCTAAAAAAAACTGAGTGAAACTCTAAGTAAGAAGCAAAAATATGATGAAATCTATCTTCCCTTTGGCTTTAGAAATGAAAATAATTACTTTTTTTTGTCTTATGCAACAGAATAGTTTTGAATAATATTATGGTGCCAGTTAAGTTGTGGCATCGTTTTAAGACCAATCATTCAGAGATAAAGAAACAGGAATTGAATATTTTAAATGAAGACATAATCATGAGCTCTTTTTTTTTTTCCTATTTTTAGTAGAGAGATTATGAACTCTTTAAAAGTCCAAAAATATTTTACTAGCTTTTCAAATTAGGAATGAAAAATCCACTGAATTATCTTACAGGGTAAGTGGCATGCCTGGATAAGTCACACGTAATAGCTGAGAGACTAATAAAGCTTTGTGTAGTTGGCATTGCCGAATGCCTGCTGGATGAAGAATTGGCAGAAGAAATCATAGCACTGCCACTAACGATAGTATTTCTTACTAACACAACTGCTAAATCTATTAAATCCACTGCTCTCCACTTCCCTGCCCCATCCTTGGAAAAGCATTTTAATTTTTTTTCCAAAAACATATCCTCATTGCAAAAAAAAAAAAAATAAAATAAATAAATGAATGAGCAGAACACACATGATTCACAGCTTAAAATCTTCAAGAATAGAAGGAGTATGATCAGATCAAGCTCGACAATTCCTTTACCTATTTCACTGTTTTATACAGAATGCATGGAAGCTATAATCTTACCTACTCAGAGACAAACACTGTTAATGCTTTCTTGTGTGTTTTTCTAGATCCTTTTCTGTGCATATTTGTGGATGTACAGCAAATGAGATATGCTATTTGGTAAACTTCTTCACTTAAATTGGAAAATTTGAGTGTATTTTCCCAATATAATTCTGTATCATTTGAAATAAGCATATACTATTCTGTTGTATGAGCAATGCTTTTTTTCCCCCCTCCACTGGTAATGATACAGGATTTATTGTAGGGATTTGACCTCATGCAATTGTAGGGGCTCACCCTGCCAACAGAGCTCACCCTACCCATTCACACAGCAGGCAGCAGATGCCAAGGGAATTAAAAGCTAAACTGCAGGGCAGCCCTCAATCAAAGATTGGCAGGAGTTGGTGTACACTTACCCCAGTTTTCCCCACCCTGTGAATGAAATAACTTGAGAATATGTTGACACTGCTTTCTAGAGCTCCCGATGGCGTTAAGCTCTAGTTGATCTCACATAGTTTATTAGTTTATTTTCCTTCCTTTCTTACTGCCCCACTATCCTAGCAGAATTTTTTGGAATCACCCCCCCAGATAAAATCTTTGCACCTGAATCATTTTTGGAGGGTCAGCTTCTGGGGAAGCTCAAACAAGGACACGTAGCAATACCCATGACCTCATCACTACCAGCGCCTCCCTAATATCAATTTAAATCATTCCACCCTTGGACACCTATCTTCTGAGTTGTGCTCCTTCAGTACCACAGCTGGAGGAAGCTTCAACCCACCCCACGTGAACCAATGATCCATGGATCTAATCTCTTTTGCTCCCATCACCCATCTGGGTTAAAAAAGAGCTCTTTGGGAATATTGATTACAACTACATTTGACATAGAACATAATTTGAAGAAAATGAACATCCTTACAGTAATGTGTCTTCCCTGTCCCATTCAGGAAGTTGACACATTTCACCATCAGCCTGAATTCCATTCCGAAGGTCAAATTAGTTGTCAAATACAAATTCCTTAATATAAATCCTGGATTTCCCTAAATTAATTGTCAAAGTTTTGTTTCAATAGGGAATAGTACATCTTTTGTTTTTTAAAAGAGCTTCGAAAAAGGAAATTACCACTATAATGAATATAATGGTATTTTAAAAAAAGAAAGCAATTATTCAATGATTGAATTTTGCTTCTTTTATATTTAAATACTACCTTCTCAGAACTTTTCTCTGCACTTTTGACTCCTCTGCATTTTGACTCTTCTTTCTATTTTATGTCTATATCCAGTCAAACTCCATGTCCCGGGGAACCATTCTAGAATATTCTTCAAGTTTTTCTTCCGTTTCCATTTCCGGTGCCACCAATCTAACCCAGGCACTTGGTTTTATTTGCAGGTTTGGCTTAAACAATTATCACTGTAGTTTCCTGGTTGGCCCTCACTTTCTTCCAGCCCCTATTTGTCCTAACACTACTGACATGTTGATCCTTAAACACAGCTTTGTATGGAGGTGCCCCTTCTCAATAAGCCCTCGGCCATGTCACAGCAGGGAGTCTTAACGCTGGCATTTAGTTTCCATGATCTAGTGTCCAGTGAAGAGCAAAGACGACACACTGAGGATGGAATAGCAGAGAGAAAGAAAAAAAAAGTAGGTCCTCAGTGACACTGTTGAGCCCTTGGATTAATTTAGCCTGAGACCTACAACAACATCTCTAGACTTCTTGCTATAAAACATATGCTTCCTTATTGTTTAAACCAAACTGAGCTGGGATTTCCTGATATTTTCAGCTAAAATCTTCCTAAGTGATACACATCCCCTCTGGTGAGCTGTGAGAGATGGTGAACTTTGCACAAGCAGAGACTGGGTGGAGAGAGCCTTCCTCACCAGGTTCCCAGCCTGAATTAAGTGCAGCTGTTGACCAACTCATGGCCTCTGTGGGTGTGATGGTTAATGTTATGTGTTAACTTGGAGGGTGTTTTTGGATGAGGTTAACGTTAAGATAGATCAGTGACCTTTGGGTAAAGCAGATTGCCCTCCCCAATGTGGGTAAGCCTCATCCAATCAGTTGGAGGCCAGAATAAAACAAAAAACAACTCTCTCCTAGCAAGAGGGAATTTTCCAGCAGTTGCCTTTGGCCTTCAGCTGCACCGTTAGCTCTCCTGGGTCTCCTCCTGCTGGCCCACAATGCAGATTTTGGGTTCAGCAGCCTCCACAATCCTGTGGGCCAATTCCTTTCTAATATATCTCCTGCTACGTATACACACACCCCATTGGTTCTGTTTCTCTGGCAAGCCTTGACTAATACAGTGGCTAATAAAAGCAGCGGAATGATGAGACAGGAGATTGAGACATCAGGCTAGCTCTTGGAAGGCCCCACGGCCAGGACTGGGTTGCGGGTGTGAGGAACAGGATGATTGCGACTGCAGTGGTGCCAGGAGTCAACTACAAAGCCCTCCACATTTTATATCGAATTGAGTGGATAGTCCCATATCTTGTTTTGTTCAATTCTTGTTTTTAAGGATTCTAAAATATCTGATCTGTAATTTAATAGGCTTTCAAAGCTGGTAGTTTAGTGCTATGATTTCCAAACATGATTGCTTAAAGAACTTTAAAAAAAAAAAAAAAACTGAACAAACTTCCTCCTCCCTAAAAGTTTCTGATTTATGGATCTACAGTGGAGTCTTGGGATCTGTGTTTGAAACACTTCTCAGGGTCTGGCGATCACTCCTCTAGAGACAGTCTAGTCCAGTCATCTTTTTGCACATACATGAGAGAAACCAAAACTTGAATGGTTCAAGTGACATAGGGGCTTTTACCACGTTTTCAGGTTTGATAAGCAGGTACAGGTGAACATATTGTCACCCTTCCAGAATTAAAGCTTTCTCTAGTGTCTGAGTGTCATCCTTGGAAAACCTCAATAATGGATTCAGTGCAATTCAAGAATCACACACACACATACACACATGTGCACGTGTGCACATTTTTCTCATCTTTTGCCCCTTTCTCTTACAAATGAAAGAGTAGCTTCCTCTTAGTTCTTTAGGAAGGGAATATAAGATTTTGCCAACTTTACAAATTTCATAATTGGTTATTTGGTGCTAAGGCTATTTGATTTTCATTCTTAGTTGTGCAAATAATGTCTCTAACATTTTTTAGCCTCCCCAATCATTGGCAGTATTTAAGAAAAGGAATTCTATATACCTTCCTGTGATATTTACATTATTTTCTGATTTCTAAATTGCCTTTCCTTCACAAGAAAAGATTGTTTAAACTTATCAAAATCACTTCGATTTTACACCTACAGTTGGGATCCTAACATCTTAATTTTCGACACTTATAAATGCTTTAATAGATACACGGACAGTAATTTAGTTTGACTTAAATATAATAATCAGACACATTTATCTAGGCTGACAAGATTTCATTTCCTAATGATCTTTTATTGTAAATTTATTTGATTTCCTTTAATATATTATCTCATTTCTCATCGCCTTTCCTTTTAAAAAAATATGAATAATCTTTTATGGAATTATGAAGACTTGGCCTTGAGCCGACAGCTCTGAGAAGCAGTGAATATCTCCACCCTTTTAAACAAATTATATGGTTTGATAACAAAGTCTTAAGAAGAAGAGAACATTAGTTTATCAAGAAGTTATTCTAAAAGACACCAAAGATTGTACTTTCAGGGGCTCTTGTTTGCTTTGCAAGAACAATAACCAAAATAATCAGGCCAACCTGACTCCAGTTCTGTATTTTCAATTGCACACTTTCCTCTGTCTGGATGTCCCATAATCAATTCATGCTCATTTTTGGGTTATAAAACCAAATTTACCTTCTTTTCTCCAAAATGGCTCTTCCTCCTACATTTTTATTTCCATGAACAATATCACCACCCAGTGAGTCAAGCTGAAAACTGAAAAGACATTTTGGAGTTCTCCTTCTCTCCAAAATAGTCAATTTCTTACAGGGTCTTCACTCCTGAAACTTCCAAATAGTTCTCAAAACTATGCCCACTTCTCCATTCTTTCTGCAGGTGGTGCTCATAATTCTTGCTTGGCTAGTCACTACAACATCCTAGTTGGCTTCCCTGACTTCTAGTTTCAGCCCATACTACTCATCATCCACGCTGGTGCAAGATTAATTCTTATGGAAATACCAATCTGACTTAACTCTCTATCTCCATATTCTTCACCGGTGCCCTATTGCCTGGCGTATCAAGTCCACAGTCCTCAGCAAGGCACACAAAGCCCTTCAGGACCTGATTCCAGCCTAGCGCTCCCACCCTATCTCTTGTCACTCTTCTCCTATCTCAAACTCCTTCCCTCTTTAAAAAGTCAACTCCGCATCATCTGCATCCTTGAAGGCCCAGCAGAGGTAGCCACGGTGCTATGGTTTCAGGTGTCCTCCAGAAGTTCATGTGTCAGGAACTTAATTGTCATTGTTACTGTATTAAAAGGTGGGGCCTTTAAGAGTTGATCAGGCCATGATGGCTTGTGAAGGGATTGATGCTGTTGTCACAGGAGTGGGCCCATTAGCTCACGAGTGGGTTCCTGATAAACAGGATGAATTCAGCGCATTTTCTCTCTGTCTCTTGTGCTCACTCACTCTTCGCCACATTATGACACCACAAAGGAGACCCACACCAGATGCAGCTCCTAGGACTTCCCAACCTCTGGAACAGTGAGCCAAATAAATCTCTTTTCTTTATAAATCGCCCAGCCTATGATAATCTGTTATAGCCCCAAACAGACCAAGATGCTCGTTCCCCACTGTACTTCTACACCCTGTGCGTGACTCTAAGGTACTACTTACCCCTTGCAGTAATTATTCATTTATGTCTCTCTCTGTCACTAGACTGTAAGAGCCTCAAGAGGAAGTACGTACTCTATGCATGGTTTCCTCAGTTCCTAGTGCAATGCTTGGCACACAGTATTAATAATTACATGATGAATATTCACTGATGAAGAGTTGAATGACTGAAGTAAGCTCCAAGGGGCTGTTTAAATTGTTTTCTTTTGCTAGATGTCTCGTTGTTTCTGTGAAGCATTAACTAGAATTTGCTGTATATTATAAATATATTTGTTGAAATGACATGTGATCTGTGTTTCACAATCCTATGGTAGAAAAAAAAATGCCAAAATAAGACTACAATTCAAAAATGTATGGTTGTGGTATAAACACAGGCTACTTGCAATTTGAAACATTTTTTTAAAGCCTTGTTGCGATATTATATTTTCGTTTCCCTCCCAGCCCTGCCTCTTTTGTAAACACTATATACGTGTTTATTTGTGTATGTTGTAGAGATGCCTTCTGTACTGGGTTATGCAACAATCCTTTTCATTTCTGCAGAAATGAAAGGTCGGTAAGCATCCTTTCCATTACTCCCAGGATGTGAGGTAACTTCAGATAAACATGTGCAATCACAATGCTGTAGGTATTCCTGTGAATGGAAAGAGACTACCACTACAATCTGTTAATTTACTTATATCTCTTGTAGTTTTATGATCGATTTAAACCACCTATAGTCTACAAATGTAGTATATACTCTTACTAAACTAAAAAGAAAAACACTCTGAAACTGGGAGAAGTTTCTTCAAAATATAGGACAGACATGAAAAAAAAAAGGCCTAAAAGTTACTTTTTATTCATCAAGTGGCACTTTAATTTTATTTACAACTACACTGAAACCTCTTTAAAGGTCAATGTCCAGGGCTACTTGACATTCATCTGAGTTTGGGGATTACATGAGAACCAATTCAGAGTTGAGTAGAAAGGATGGGAGACCACCAAACATGGTAAATGAAACCCTTATTTTCTTTTGGTTCTCAGCCTTCAGGATTGCCTTAAGAAGACCTTACATTTGAAAATCAAAAGCAAAACTAGTTTAAGCGTCATATTATAAATTATAGAGTAGGCGAATTATATGTTCCAGAGATTCCAAAGGTTCTATATAGTTGTTTTTATACCTTTTTAATTAAAAATTAAAAATGTTATTTTTTTTGACTAGCAGTCTGAATGGAAGATACCTTAAATAACTCGTAGGAGAACATTATATTCTGTAAAAGCCTGGGAAAGAACTAAGATGAGAATAAAATTAATTTTTCTTCCTTGAAAAAAATTGGCTTTCTTTTTCAAAAGAAAGATGGATGATAATTTCTTTAAAAATAAATGTATTATCTTGATATTCAAGGCCCTTCACAGTCCAGCCCCAAGCCACCTTCCTTGAATGGCACTACCACCACGCTGTGCTGGGGAGAGCCCCTGTCCTCCTTCTCTGTTCAGTGGGGTCTAATCACCCCTCTCTCATCACTTACCACCTGCGTTAGAGGTTTCTCAACACCACTTGGCTGTCCAGCTAGGCTATGAGCGTCTTAAAATTCCTCTTTCCTGTTTTTATTTACCCATAATATACCTAAAATGTACTAATAGTTAGTGTACAGCCTGATGATTTTTTACATTTCTGCCCAGATCAAGATACAGAGCATTTCTAGCACCTCCGACAACTTCACTGAGTCCCTTCTAAGTCAATTACCCCATCCCCAGAGGTGACCATTCTCCTGACTTCTATCACAGCAGATTATTTGTCTTGTTCTTGAACTTCATATAAATGGAATTGTCTGGGATGTGCTCCTTTATGTCTACCTTCTTTCTCTCAACATATCTTTGAGATTCATTTATGGGTTGAGTGTAACAATATTTTATTCTTGTTATTGTATAGTATTTCATTAGATGAATATAAAAAATATAACAAAATTTATTTATCTATTCTATTCTCTCTTTAGTATTATTTATTCTTAGAGATGAGGCCTTGCTCTGTCACCCAAGCTGGGGCAAAGTGACACAATCATAGCTCACTGCATCCTTGCACTCCTAGACTCAAGCAATCCTCCTACCTCAGCCTCCTGAGAAGCTGGGATTACAGGTGCAAACCACTGTGTCCGGCTATCTATTCTACTTTTAATAGATATTTTGGCTTTCTGGTTTCCAGCTATTATGAATAAAGCTGCCACAAACATTTTTATACATTTCTTTGGGTAGATGTATACTATTATTTCTGTTAGGGACATGTATAGAAGTGGAATTGTTGGGCCACAGCAGAGCGATATGGCATATGTTTGCAGCTTAGTAAATACAAATAATTCTCCTAAGGGTTGTGCCAGACTGTGACCTTTTGCAAGGGAATGATATTGTTTCCATCATCTTTATATCCCTGGGGTCTAATATAACATAGTAGATGTCCAGCAGGAATTTACTGAATGACTAGATGTATTAGTAGGATTCTTTGGTTGCAAACAGCAAAACTTCTACTTAAGTGCTCTAGATGACCTTTTCTCCTTTGTGAAACTATCACCTCATATAATTCACAACCGTCTTCCAAATTTCTTGCAGGTACATCTGCTTGGTGAAACCCAAGTCACATATGAACTGTAGCTGCAAGGGAATCTGGAAAACGTAGTTTCAATTTCCAGCCTCATAGCACAAGAAGGGATGACAGAGGGCTTAGAGATGATATTGGATAAGTCATTATGCAGATTCTGATACAGAAATTAAAGGGTTGGCTAGGAAACAGAATCAGAAAGAAACAGGAGCCAGGGCTGCGTTGGAGGTCCAGGTGAGAGAAACCAACTCACATGTCTTAAAAGGACTTCATTCTTCCCTTTATGATGAAGATTCAAAGTCTTGGAAAAGAGAGTATAGTAGGCAAAGCTAGGATCACATGCCTATTTCTTGGGTAGGACAGGATTGTACTGACAGTCTTGCCAAAATAGCTTTCAATGGAGAATTAATTTCCCAAAAGAAAATGAAATTCTATTGCCAAAACAAAGGGACAGAGGCTTAAGGGTAAAAACCTGCAAATGTCCACTACAGAGTTTAACAAATAAGGAATTATAATTTGAATATCCAAATTGCATTTCACACATTATGCCTAAGAGCCGACAACCCCAAGATTTCTAGTGGTTAGAGACAAAAAGGGACTTAGCCAGGTCATTTTATGGAGTCTGGTATATTGTGGTATAAATTACACCCAGTAAACTCACTCTTTTCAGGTGTAGAGTCAAGATCTGGAACACTTCCATCACTCCAGCCTTTGTCCCACCCCTAACCCCTGACAACCACTGATTTGATTTCTGTCCCTATAATTTGGCCTTTTCCAGAATGACATATAAATGAAAATGTAAGGATATTTTCTTTCACTTAGCCAAGAGATTATTTTGTCCAATGGCTTTTGGTCTCTTTTCTCCTCCACTAAGAGCATTCCCCCCCAAACAAACTTTTATGCAGAAATCTAATATTTTTTTTTTTTTTTTTGAGACAGAGTCTCACTCTGTCACGTGAGAGTGAGTGCCGTGGCGCCAGCTTAGCTCACAGCAACCTCAAACTCCTGGGCTCCAGTGATCCTTCTGCCTCAGCCTCCCGGGTAGCTGGGACTACAGGCATGCGCCACCATGCCCGGCTAATTTTTTTATATATATATCAGTTGGCCAATTAATTTCTTTCTATTTATAGTAGAGACGGGGTCTCGCTCTTGCTCAGGCTGGTTTTGAACTCCTGACCTTGAGCAATCCGCCCGCCTCGGCCTCCCAAGAGCTAGGATTATAGGCGTGAGCCACAGCGCCCGGCCAGAAATCTAATATTTGAGACAGAAATGGATTGCTTTTATGTAATCTGGATGAGGAGCCCAAGTCCAAGATTCTGTCTAAAGAAGCACATTATAGTTTGCCTATGTTGGAATTTTATTTTGTGTATTCCAGAATCACAATTAGTTCAGAATCTCTGCGCTTTTTCAAAGCTGGCTTCTTATTGCAGAAATGTTCACAGTGCACTTTCCATGAAGGAAGGCATGGCCTGGGAAAACTATCAGAAATGCAAAAAGATTTCGTGTCCTTACATTTTTGTTATAAATTATGGATTTTTACTTACTTGACTTTCTTGCTAGAAATGTTCAGTTCAGGTCCACTAGGTGTCAGTTGCCATCTCTTACATCTTTTTTCACTGGCTTCTTTTAAATGCCACTGTTAACCATTAAAATGGCAAGTGCCTAGGTATCACTCTGTCCAAATAAACTTGAAGGGAAATTTCTGCAGATGATGGCTTCTTGACCTGTGCTGTCCAGTAAGGTAGTCATTAGCCACACGTGGCTACTGAGCACTTGAAATGTGGTTAAGTCCAAACTGAAGTGTGTTGTAGGTGTCAAGTATACACTGGCTTGTGCACTAAGTACAAAAAAGAATGCCAAAATTTTGCATTAATAATTTTTATAGATTGCATTTTGAAAATTTTTAAATATATTGAGTTAACAAAATGTATTATTAAAATTAATTTCCTTTGTATCACTATTTTTTTTAAATGTGACTACAAGGAAATTTAAAGTCACATATGTAGGTCTTATTGGTGGTTTGCATTATATGGCTATGGGACAGTGCTGGTCTAGACAGATTGTTGACTGCACATTTGCTAATCTTTCCCAAGAAAGACCCCAAATCTACATTGTCCAATCTAAATCTCAGAGATCATGACAGAACCAGGCCACTGCCATTTTTTTGAGCTTCCTGGTAAATTTAAAAA